AATCACTTATTGTTATATAACCAATCTGCAAATCATCTCTTGTCATAACTATGCTTTCCCACTGTATCACAAACAAGATACTTTTAATACAAATCAATTAAGACTATGTATACCCTTCAAGACATCACAAAGTCCATTATCACTGCACAAAAACGTGTACATGCCCTTTGTTCACAAAGTACAACTTCTTAAACTCACCATGTACACCTCTCTGTTGTCCTTTTTCACTCCCAAGACCTGTGTGAAGTCTCAAACAATAAAGTTAAATTCATGGACCCACTAGAATTGTCGTCCCCTAAATAACCTAGTCCCTGCAGCTCTCAGAAGGAAACAGCTCCTAAATGCTAAACATTTCCAATACGTGATCAACTCATGTGGACTGATTACTTAAACTGAAGTTTTTCAATTCGAGTACAATTAAGATTGATTTATTTAACCCAAGTATTTACAATTTGAGTTTAGTTATGGCTGTATAATTTAATCTAATTTTTTTCAATTTGAGTTTAGTTTCCTAACGTATTTAACTTTTTCAATTTGAGTCCGGCAAGGTATTGTTTGACCAGAATAAAATTCTATATTTTACAAGTGTCAAGGATTTTGTCCATTACTCATTTTATTCTGTTGTTTCGCAGTTGAGTTTAAAACCTGAGTTTATTGTCAATTCCAAGAAGAAAGTTAATCTAATTTGTTCAGGACCACCAAGGCCACCCCTACAATATTTCTCTTCCACTCGTTCGCTTTGACATCTCAACCCTCTACTGTCTAAGCTGACTCCAAAATGATTCAACCTTCTCCAGCAGACTCACTCCGACTCCATCTCCTGGTTAAATACAGCTCGTACACGTGATGTCCCCTCTTTCCTTGAGATTCAAACCATTCTCTGTTTCAGAGTTCACTGCCTCCTTCCTATCATACAGAAAATTGTTTCGTTTAACCTTGTGTCTGCTCCCATCTCCGTTTCTGTCTGGCCTCCGACGGCTATCAGCAAATATTTGAAAGATCTTCAGCTATCCCTGTTCCCATATCAGATACCATTTAGCTGTGACACGCCAATCGGCTATATTTTTAAATTAATCCAACTTGTACAGCCTAAATCATTAAAAATCAAGCTCTACCCCCTTAATTTTGGTACATAAAGCTCATTACCTCCTTTTCATTTTGATACTCCCTATAAGTCATGCAATTTGCCTCTGATATGATCCTATAGATTTTCCACAGGCTTCACCTGTACCACATTCATGAGTACCCCACCTGATAACAACATTCACACACCCAGGCATTCAAATATGTTATTGTCATTCACTCCTGGCTGCAGCCGTAATGAAACAAACACAAGTCTGGTACGGAACAACCCAGCAGCCAGACCCGTCCTTGCCTCACAGCAGCGCCCCCTTCCGGTCAGGATACGGAAGCACCGATCACACAAGACACCTCTGACGCAGAAACGAAGACAAAACAAAACACGCGTAAGCCTTCACCTCGTGTGTGGAACAAAGAAACGCTCCCTTCCCCCACACGAGTGCTTTACCACACACACACACGGCTTCAAGCAGACTTTCTCCGACACACAGAAAACTTGAACAGCACGGCACAAACAGTGTTTAAAACCCTACCGCGCGGTCCCAGACCGTCCGGAATTTAGACTTAACGGCCCCCGGCCTGTCCCTTTGAAAGTTTAACAATTGAGATTACTTTAGTACCAGTCTACAGTATCTGTGGAAATCTCGCACCACAGCACCTCCCAATGGCAGACCATATGGGAGGAAGTCACCTCGTCAGGTTAACTTTTCGGTCAGCCACGACCCGCTGAATTCAAAGGGACTTATATCTCTATACTTTCAACTTACGGCAGACTCTTAGTCATCCTCCGCCACGATTCTAACTCGTGTTCTATATAAAAGCCGTGCACATAACAGAATACACACTCTCTCACAGGCACGCGGCCTCGAACGCACCCCCCAAGTCCGAATACCAGTAACCCACTTCGTCAGAATTCCCACGAATCACTGGGAGTTAGCTTAAATAAAACCATCTTTATTTTCCGGAGATGGCCGCATGCACACCAACAGAGGAATTTGAATTTAGTTTCAATTTGGTTTACGGCCGAATAGCCAGAAACTCCGGACCTTAAGGTCCAAACAGTTAACCAGCTTACCTGAAATTAATGGGCCCAGTTCCTCTCTCTGTGTGTGCACCGCAAGCCACCTCGATCCAATTCAGTCTAGGCCGCGTCACCTCGCCATCACGTCGGGGTCACCATATTGTCGTGGATAGAATACCACGTCGTGTTCAAAATGGCTGAGGCGTCGCCCTTCGTATAAAAGATTTATTTGACACAACATGGGTTACAGATATTCAGAGACAAACAATTACATTAATAAGATATATGCATATAAATGGAGCATTAAGAACGAACTGCCATATGCGCCTCCCGGAAAATGCTCAGTGCGCGTGCGTCATTCGCGGCCTTTTATCCCCATTTGAGAAGGCTAGCTTCCTGATTGGTTCAGCTTCTGTCGCTATGGTTACGACTTAGCCCGCCCCCTCAAGGACGTTACGTCTATATTTCAGATAAGTTTTGGTCCACTGAAATCAGCTTTTGTTTAAAGTTTAACTTGCTATTATACTTTAGGGATATAAAATGATTCGTGTCTAAATTGTTTATGCGTAATAATTAATAACTATTAATTATTACCTACCTCCTGGGTGTTACTTCAATATCTGTTGGAGGTCTGATTCTGTTTTTAAGGCAGATTCATCTTAGTTTCTGTGTCTGCGTTTAAAACTGTTAACACTGTTTGTTTAACGTGATTATACCTTAGTGATAACACTGATTTGAAATAGTTGTTTATTTCTAGGAATAATTATATTATCTAACTTATGTTCGTGGTTTTATTTGGATCATGGTTATACTCTTAATTTGATTTTACTTAGTCAAACTATACTGTCTAAATTAAAGAGCTGTTCTAGCTTTATTTATGTTAATCAGTCTGCTCTCTGGCCTGATTTGATTGCTTGTAATTTATCAAATGTGAACTTGTAAAATTATCTTTAGCTACTATGAGATTATATTTAAAGGTCAACTAGTTAGAATTAGCAAACACTTTCTATAAACATAGTTCAACCTTGGAAGAAAGACACACACACACTTTATATGACCTGACATTAGAGTGCTTGATAGGAATTATAAAAAGGTATAAAATATTAAATCCAACAATTTTGAGAGAGATGTGTGAGGGAATTTGTCTGTTTTAACCAGAACCGCACGCTCCTTTGGACCAGCTTATTCCAACGGTACACTTTCGGTTGAAGATCGACTTTTTACCTTTTCTGAAGATATATCAGTTCCGGCGTGAAGTCCCACTTCGAGCCACCTTTTCAGCGTCTCCGTAAGAGCAGCTAAAAACCTCGGGAGTCGTGTAGAGGTCATCCAAAACAGACTTTCATAATTCCCAGAATCTCCTCTCGTTCAGCTTAGTGGCAGCTGTATTGAGCATGCTGCATTCCAGCATTCTGCATTCTGGAACTCCAAACTCTCTGGAACTCCAAACTCTCTGGAACTCCAAACTCTCTGGTTGAACTAGGAAGTGCCAACATTTAAAGGGCTCTACTTCCGGTTCATTTTGGAGTTTCTGATTGGTCAATGGACCAAAACAGAGGTGTGTTTTGTGATGTAAGGTGTTATGAAAAGTCAAGGAAAAGATTAAGATTGTTTAAGAACAGACAAAAAGATATTATGAAGAAACCAGACTTAGTGGAGCCAATTCTCCAGTATCTTGCTGTAAAAGTTAAACATGACATTTCTTTTCAGTAACCTTTCAGTTGACCGAAACTTGAACTTCGACACACTTACAACTTCGCTCATTGAAGACAGAAAATCAGACAATGCATATTAACCTGATTTCTTCTTTGAATGAGGATTAAAAATCATTATTACTGTTTCACAGTTGATTTAAATGATTAGTTCACTTCAACATTTAAAAATGGTTTGAACTAAAACACAATTTGATTATCAAACATTTGTAAAATAGTAATGATAATAGAGAATAGTCTTCTTTCACTTAATTAATTCAAGAAAGAAAGTCTCAGGATGGGTCAACCTGTATTTCTGGATGCAAATCAATGAAATGACAAGTTCTGTCCCAATGGTCCTTAGGTCAAGGTTTTGACCTTCAGGCCTAGTTCACTACATTTTCCACCAAAACATTAAGGTTTACTTACATTCTCTGTTCAGTTCCAGTACAGCAAAACACTCATCTTGTCCCTGCTGGTTTTTGTCCCATGGCACAGAGCAAAAACTGAATTGGAAACACCCTCTGTCCATCCATCCATGGATGTTGTTAGCATGATAACTTGAAAAATAAATATGGTTCAAATGTGGATTTGAATGATGAATGTTTGTCGATTGACAAACATTTATCATTCAAATCCCTCAGTGATGGTGGACATTGTCTTACTGCTTGTTCTGTTCAGTGCTGGGTTGACATTAATGTTCAAGTTGTTACTGTTTAAAAGTCAGATATCGTATTTCATAAATACAAAGAGGAAACACTTTACCTGTCAGCTGAAGCTAACTGAAAATGGAAAACAGTATTGCAATCAGCCAGTGACTCTGTAGAGTTCTTCGACTTTAGCATTGAATGGGATGTCACACTACTTCCCAAAGACGTAGCCCTAATAGTCAAATTTGCCACTGGCATGATGAGCAATTCTGCTGGCAAACAGAGATGCACACACAGACACAAGCAAAAGTGTTATCGCCCACTTTTCAGCTTTTAGGAGCGGGTGATGAAAAACAGTAAAAATAATTAGTCATGATCTTGAGGTTGTACAGCTGCGTAGCTGTTCAAAGCTGTAACAAGACTGTGGCTGTTAGCTGAGCAAAACAGGTGTCTGTTTCTCGCCTTTAGGTATTACAATTCTTAAAATTCTGCTATTGAAAAGTTCAGGAGTGACAGCTAAGAGTGTTTTTTATTAATACAGAGATATTTGTAACTTACTTTTAAATCCATTGACCGCCACTTGACTCGAATGGTAAAAGCCTCTCCGGCACTGACACTTGTACTTGTCCAGGACAAAGCCGTGACCTCCGATGGGAGTGCACTGGAACAACAGGCAGAGATGGACAACATCACAGAAAAGTCAGCATTGCTTCTCCAGCAAACATCACAGGCACAAGGAGCAGAGCAAAGTTTAGTTTAGACCAGGAGCTGAAGAGTTCATGAAGCAAAAGGTATCATATTGTCATTGTACAGTCTGGAATATAGAACTTAATGGGATAGGCTGGCTATTTGAAGTCATTAATAGAGCTTTAGAGCGTGACATCACTTGTCCACTGCGCGGCGGCTGATGGGATAGGAAGGGGACAGATCCATCATTTTTACAGTCCTCCATATTAACTGTCGAACACAAGCTTTCTCGCTGAATTTAAAAAAGCAAAATCAAAGTAGGTTAAAACAGTTTAGCGATGGTCCAAAATTGCTGCGTTATTGGATGTATTGTCCGGTCACATGACTGTAATTGTAAAAAGGTAGAAAACTGACTTTTTTAAAATAGATTCTCCACCAGGAAACAACGCGAGGAGCTCATGTGTCGGACGTAACAAAAAGGAGATGTGAGATGTCCTGATAACTTTCTCCAGCGTCCCAAGATATCTGCTAGTTTGTTCCAGACATTCTGGTGAGTGTCTAAATTCAGTTTGTTGGTGTTGTGCCATGATTTTGTCGAGGTGTTCTGATGTTTAGTTCATGTTCATAGAAGTGGGCCAACCTGGTTTAGGTCAGGTTTATATTTTGCATGTAACTTAGTCAGAGTTTAGGCAGAGTGGACATCTGTTATTCCAAAAAAGTTCAATCTGGTCCTCTGGACATTCAAAAAAAACAAAAAACAAAACAAAGCAAAAAAAAAAAATAGAAACATTTCGTCTCTCATCCAAGAGACTTCCTCAGTCTGAGGTGCTGTTTTCAGCTCAGTCTCTTAAATAGCACCTTCTCAGAGTGGATCAACCAGTTTGCTGCTGACAACCAAAACCAGCTGATCACATGCTCAAGAAGGACCATCAGCCTAACAATGGGTCATTAGCACCCGATGGCTGTTTACTATTCACAGAGGGCTGAGTGATACTAGCAATCACAGCATTGTAAGAGGGGGACAGTTGAACCTGGAGGCTCCACCCCAGTTTAACGATGGACGATTTCTTTTCACAAAGATGGCCTCCTTTACTCCTCTCTCAAAACATCGTTCCTCTCTGTTCAGGATGTGAACATCTTCATCCTTGAAAGAGTGACCGCTGGCCTGGAGATGAGTGTAGACCACAGAATCCTGGCCTGATGATGTTGATCTTCTGTGCTGGGCCATCCTTTTGGCCAGTGGCTGTTTAGTTTCCCCGATGTAAGACTGATCACAGCCCTCCTGACACTGAACAGCATACACAATATTACTCTGTTTGTGCCGGGGGACTGGATCTTTGGGATGAACCAGTCTTTGCCATAATGTATTTTGGGGTTTAAAAGCCACTGGGACGTTATGTTTAGAACATAAACGTCCCAGTTTCTCTGATACTCCCTCAACATCTTGAATGACCACTGGTCTGGGTTCCTCCTTTTCACCTGATGGCTGACTGGAGTCCTGTTTCATGTTGTACATGAGGTGGAATGAAACTGTGTACACAGAGTCCCAGTTACATCCAACAAAAGTATAAATGAATGATGTGCTGAGGTTCAATTCCCATCATTCACTAAATGGAGATGTGAACTTGATGCTAAGGATGTTGAACACACACGAGTACACCTTAGAGTTCATGTAAAGAGTGATTGGTAGTATGAGATACAAATACACAATGTTACACAGAAATATACCAGTTAACTATACTGGTGCTTACATGTAAATATACCAGTTAACTATACTGGTGCTTACATGTGAGGATGAAGAGGTGATTCTTCTTCAGATTGTGTGTGTGCTGTAGTTTAGTGAACATCTGTTCTAGTGTGTTTGTAAAACTAATGCTAATGAAACCTGCACATGCTGCTACTGATATATGTCAAATGTAGATTGGAGAAAAAATTATATTTGCTACACTCATTGATTTGAAATACAAAGTATATTTACAGTTGAATAATAACATAAGTGTTTGTTTTTCTCATTTAATAAAAACTCATGTGATAAACATTCATGAAACACTTGATTCATCACTTCAGGGAACATGTAAACATGATGAAATTGATCACATTTGTAATAAATATTTGAAGTTTTAACATATTTCAGGTAATAAATAAACATGTAATGAAACAGATCCTATTTTGAAGTAAACATTTTATGTAATTAAACATTTCTAGTAACAAACATGATGAACATTGTGTGAGGTAATACATTTCATAGAAAATTGCTACACAAAATGTTCAAATATAAGTTAACAGCATGATTTACATATTTATGTCTCCCTTGAAGCTGCAGTACAAACATGCTCTGAGAAATATGTTTAAGAAGCTTCGTACTTTCTGGAGACGAGCTTCACACAATTCCTGTACTGGAGACACACGGACGACAGCCATGTCTTTCTGGCTCCACACAAGCTCACATTGGTTTGATGATGTACCTGTGCATAGTATGGATGATGTTTCTTCAGGTGAAGCTCACTCCCTGCCTCCACGGCCTGCTGGATGCTGCATGTCCTATATTTGTAAGGAAACTTTCTCCAGGCAGCAGCAAACACACATTGAGTCCATCAGGAGATGCTCCAAGTTCAGGGAAGTTGGTGTTTATGATGAAACCACATTTAACTTTTAGATTTTTGTACTGCTAGCTAGGGGTTGACCAACTACATAATTTTTAAACTCGACATTAACATAATAAAACTTGAGTAGAACTCGAGTACTTGATGACATCATAGGATCTAAAGATACAAAAATAAATAAATAAATAAAACCGCAAAAAAGGTCATTATTTACAAAAAAAAAAAAAAGACCAACAAAACATTGGGAG